GCTGGAATCTGGCAGACTGGATGCAGATCTGATGGATCTGGCCTGATCCCAGGTCAAAGGGGCCTTATAGCTGGCCAAAATGACCTGGCATTTGCTGCTACATTTCTTTGAAATACCATGTCAAACCCTGGTAGATAAGATGTTCCTATGCATCTCTTACCTCCCTCTGCCATTGTCTCCAGTGAGAAGGACCCTATTGCTATGTTTGACATGGAAATGAGTGGCCTGCAACCAGGTACCTTGTTTTCATGTCAGACACGACAAGAGCAGTCATCTTACTAGTGGCAATGGTAGAGAGAGGTGAGGAGCAAGTGGTGGTAGTGGGTCTGTGGCATAGGATGGACAGGCAGGTCCCCATGCCAGCCCAGGGACTGATCTATGTTGGGACCTGGGCCAAGCCTGTGCTATCCTAACCCATCTGCTCAGGGCTTCAGTAGAACCAAATCAGAAGGACAAAAATATAATGATTACTGCAAAAATGAACAAGTACAATCACAAGTACATTTTTATTATTTGTAATAAAGGCTTCAAGGTTTTGTGACTACCTAACATTCTGTAAACAGGCCACACTAGGCAATGAACTTAAATCCTTTTTGGATATGAACAAATGGATCTACTTTTAGCCCATGGCAGTTTTGTATGTGTGCACTCACACACACAGAATTCCATTCTATCTTCTGTGTTAAAATAAAATAGAAACTTTTAAAATCATACAATTGCCTCCAAAACATGTGTTGCATATACATTTCAGATTAACATTTTTTTATGCAGCTTACCCTAAAAATCCTCACTTTTGTACACTTTTTAAAACAAAATATTCAATAATATGTCTGCTGCAAAGGAAATCCCTTTGAAATAGTCAGTCAGAACCCTAGGTTTTATCTATACATTCCTGAATACCATTATGGCATATATTTTTTCTGAGGCAACTAAGAGCTAAATCAGCTAGTACAGTGGTCCCCAACCCCCAGTCCTCAGCCCAGTACCGGTCTGCAGAACAAATGGTACCAGGCCACGAGAGGAAGAGGAAGAGGAAGAGGAGAAGGAGGAGGAGGAGGAGGCAGCCTCGGGAGCGTGTCTCCCATGCCCGCTTCCTCTGGCCGCCTCAGAGTGCCAGCCTGGATGCTTTAGCTGGAGAGGGAGGGAGGAGGCCGAGGCAGGGGCCCCAACA